CTTCTATAGGAACACCACACCAGGCAGGAGCAACCCTACTGGAAGAAATCCGTTTCCACTGGTGGTATAGAAAGGCAGCCAGCCTAGCAGCTGTCCTAGGAACATTTTACATCTTCTAGAAAAAGGAAGTACAGTCACAAGGGAATGGCTCATGTGAGTCACTGTTGGTGTCCTCCAAACAAGCTTCATTTGCAGAGCAGGAGGCTCCCTGCTTTTATGCCTATTTCTGAATATTAGAAGAAAGTTGTCTTCTAGTTTTTTTTTAACCTGCTTCGGTGGGCCAGTATCTGCCTTCCTAGAAGGTTTCTGGAATTTCTAGCCATTTGGAAAGCAGCCAAGGAAGGCAGGAGTGTCAGCATGCCACTCACAGCCCCCACACCTTATTTGTCCAAACGACCATAGAGTTAAATAGACATCTCTAGCTGGAATTCGCCTTAATGGCCCTGTTCAGCACGTCATTCCCTCTGGACCAATAGGCCTGAGCTTGTGAATATGCAACAATCAAGGCAGGTCAAATTAGCTCTAATTATGCTCCCTACGTTTCTTTAACATCGCTATTACATTAAGTGGTAATATTAAATGTGGAACATTTTTTATGCCTCTTTGCTCACTTACACATCAGACAACATGGAGAAGTGGTCCCTTCTTGCTTCCTCCGGCCCTCTCCCATGCTATAGACTAGTCAAAGCAGGTGAGTAAAAACTGTAAGCCAGCTCCGCTGCTGAGACGTGGATAAAGGATTGCTTGCCCAGTGCCTGAATGATGCACTTGATGAGAACAGACCCAACTGTAAGGAACTGGGCATTTTAGGACCGAGGCTTCACATGGTTGTTCTGAATTAGTTACTTCCCCAGGTTAGACTGCTTGGATCAAATGATCCCCTTTCCTGAAGTAAGATCCCGAAGCCAGGAACACCTTATTCATTAAGAATATTCCTTTCTAGAATCCTTCCTCATGAAAGGGGTTGGCAGTATGTCTCAAGGGTGTTAAAATACAGAGCCCTTTCATTCAGTAATTCTACCTCCGGATATCTTTCCTAACAACCAGAACTGTACCCAGAGGTGTTGTTTGTGTGTGTGTGTGTGTGTGTGTGTGTGTGTGTGTGTGTGTGTGTGTGAGCGTGCACTAGTTTATGTATGCTCACTCGTGTGTGTGTGGTACATATACATGTGGAGGCGAGGGACAATCGGATCATTCTTCAGGTGTCACCCCCCCACACACACACACACCTGTTTAGAGAGTCTGTCACTGGCCTGGAGCTCATTAAGAAGTCTTAGCTGGCTGGCCGGTGTGCCTCAGGGACCCAGCTGCCTCCACTTCTCAGGGGCTGGGATTGCAAAGGCTTTACTGGCTGAGTTCTCTCCTAGTCCACATGTGGGAATTCTGGGAAGCCGTTACAAAATCCAGTTTCCAAGCATTATTTAATGGCATCGGAAATATTCCCACTATAATGTTAAGTAATGAAAGCAAGACAGTAGCGGGACTGCAGAGCGGCACAACCTCTATGGAGGGAAATTTGGCAGGCGGTACCGTAAGGCACGCACGTTGCCCTTTGACCTGGTGGCTTTCCTTCTAGGAGCCTTTCCCAAAGCTGCACTGTGAGAGCCATGGCCACTGCTGGCTGCCTTGCTATTTGTAACAGCAGGAGCAGGGACAGCCCTGCTGTCATCACTAGAGACAGACCAGCTGGATTTTCAGAGACTCACAGTGGAGTACTATGTAACTATAGAGTAAGGAAGAATTTGTGGCCTTATTTGGAAAGATCTCCAAGAGGGTCTAATGTTTTGTTAAGAAAAAAAAAAAAAAGCCAAAATATAGGCCAATTCATGTGGTATGTAGCCTTTTGTGTGAGAGATGGATACAGGATATGTGAGGCTGCTGCCTATAAAACATGGAGTGCTAGTTACAGTAAAATGCTTTGAAACAGCTAGATTTTAAAATAACAGAAAGCTAGAGTAGTAAACATGTTTACTAACAACATATGAATTGGTAACGGTCCTTTATTCTCATTATTATGCGCTGCACTGTGTGCGCTATACTTTGACACAGTTAACACTTGAGTGCATTTATTGCCACCAGCATCAACACACGTGGGAGCTAAGTGTCCACACTGAGTGGTATGGAACCTCTGTGGCTCCATCACTGTCATGTAGGACCACTGTGTGTGCGGCCCACCATTGCCCGAGTCACCATCACGTGGTGCATGGCTTCCGCACATTCTCAGGACTATGCAACTGCTACCACAAGCAATTTTAGAGCAGACATTCTCTCTACCCCAAACAAACCCCTGGTGTAGCCAAGGCTGACTTTAAAATGACTGTGCAGCCAACAATGGCCTTGAACCCTTGATTGTCCTACCTCCATCTCCCAAGAGCTCTAAGATCCGCCTATGCTACCCACCATGACAGGCCTTTACTGCGTTTCTTGATTGCATCGAGAGGCTGCATTGAATGAGTTGTCCTCCCTGGATGATGAAAATCTTGACAGTCCACTTGACAGGACTGAGGGACAAGCCTCTGAACTGGTCTGTGAAGGCATGTGTAGGGAAGATTAGTTGAGAGGAGATGACCCTCTTCAAGGTCAAATGGCGTCAGTATAAAAAGGTCTGAGAAGAAGTCAGAGCCGCTTGCTGCCTGCATGGCTAGCCACGTTGCTAATGCTGCTGGGCCATCCCTGACAGCAGAATCCAGCTTGTTTGATCTTCCAGAGTGGACTGAGAGCCGGTGATTCCTGGACTCTTTCAAGCCTTCAGCACAGACTGGCACTGCATGTGGTCATGGTTTGAGTACCCAGCCACTATCCCTTGGAAGACGTTCTAGTAAACACCTCTCTTGGTTGGTTTGTTTATGTGTACTAGTGCTTTGCCTGCATCTATGTTTGTGAACCACATGTTGCCTGGTGTGGGAGGACAACGTCAGAAGAGGACATTGGTTTCCCCAGGACTGGAGTACAGATGGTTGTGAGCCATCACACAGGCGCTGGGAATCCAATTGGGTCCTTCACAAGAGCAACAAGTGCTCTTAACCCTGATCAGGGGATGCTAAACTCAGAAAGATGTAGAGCAGAGGAACCAGACCAATGCCCCTGACCCCACAGAGCAAGCTTGGCTCACCAAAAGTGAGAAAACAAGGTGTTGCCCACCTCAGGATGTGATGCTCCTGAGGTAAAGTTTTAAGAAAATCTGTTGAATTGAATCAGCCTCATTTTTAGCCTAGACTACTTGGAACAGGAAGAAGATACCACCAAGACCACAGCCGACCCCTGTCAATCAACACAGCACAGAGCAATGCAGGGGCTACTGAATTCACGTCGAGGGGAGGGCTCTCCACTCTTTCCGAAAATGTGTGTCTAAGTCTCTCAAGGTACAGACCTGGCACACTCACGTCAGGAGCCTTACAGCTTCACATCCACTCCGGTGAACACCCACGGCCACCAGGCAGCAGAGCAGAGGCCCCCGAATCAAAAGCAGTTTGGTTCATTTAAAGTAACAATCCTTGGAAAGTGGGGACGAGGACATAAAACAACAGAAAAATAATAGTAACTGACCGGCCAACGTCCGTTACGGAGTTGCTGTGTCTGGCTGCAGCAGTGCAGGGGGTAGAACACAGAGCCTTGAGGCATTTAGGTGAAACTGGCCTGGTTAGGAACCAGGCCTATTACCCACTTGCTTTCTTAGAAGTAACAACTGTCCCCGTTTGGCTGAGTGGAACTTTAACATGGGTGACCCCATCGTGACGTTAGCCATTGCAGCCGAAGCTTAGCCCAGCCGCAGTCATTGGTGTCTATTTAAACATTTAAATAGCATCTCTATTGGACTCCGCTTTGACACTGTGTATCAACAGATCTTCACATGTCAAATGCTGGTCATCTGAGCATAACAGAACAAGTACTGTAAATGTGCAGGGAGGCGGGGCCGGGCTTTGGTTACAACTGTGTCTAAAGGGACAGATCACACATGAATTGCCTGAAATTGGTCTCGGCGTCTTCTGGTTTGGGGCCAGGGCAATGAGCAGACAGAGGAGCTTTCTGTTTGTCCCCACATGTGGGAAAGGAGATGGGTTGGGATGAGAGCCCCGCTCTGCTCGCTGCTGCCCACCACCGACCGGCCGGCTGATTCACCCTTCATGACCGTGGCCGCCCTCTAAGAATGCACCCCCTCCCCTATCTAGGACATATAAACAGCAATGCGCGGAGAACTGTAAGACGATTATAACATTTTAAAAAATATATTCTCTGAGTAGATATTGTTTTTCCCTAATCAACTTCTCTTATTTCCCAATTCTTTTTCTGGAATTGTTCTTAAACCACTCTGGAATACAGATTTGAATAAGAAGCTCTGAAAGTAGATGATATTTTCAATTAGGATTATTTAGCTTTTTTATTTACTATATGGCATTACAGAAAGGGTTTTCCTCCTAACTTAAAAAACTTTAATTTTAATGCCAATAAAATCAAAACATTATTTCTGGAATGTTCTTTGAGAACTAGAGATATTAAGCATTTATAGATCTATGCAAAACCTCTGCTTGATTCAAAAAAGAAAGCACAGTCCCTCCTTATGTCTAACTTCTGTTACTATAATAATAATATATTTAAAAACTGACAAAGTCAACTTCAGGGAGGGAGGGTTTATTTTGGCTCACAGTTTCAGGTTACTATCCATCATAGAAGGGCAGTCAGGAGGCAAGACACCCCCCTACCCCCCTCCACCCCCCACTCCCCCACCCCCAGTCAAGAGCCAAGGGAAATGCAAGTACACCTTCCTCTTGATTGGCTCTACTCCACTCTTAAGTAGCTTAGACCCCCACCCCCGGGAAAGGTGCTGCCCACTGCTGCTGGTCTTTATATCCAAAGGAGGTGGGTTCCTTGTGACACCCACATCCACTATGGATTCAATCTGTGTATAACTTTAGTACCTCCTCCTACAGCTCTCACTGAAATCTTTATCTGTACTTAGTGGATCGTGAAAATGTGTGCGACGTGTTCTCTTGACACCTTACCATGGCAGGTTAGACGCTGCTAAGACAAACACAAGGTCCTCTGAGCGGGCCAAGCCGTCCATCTGCACCAGTAACTCAGTCTTCATCCGAAGACTTCCTTCATGCTCTCCCCTACAGAGACAGAGAGCTATGAGTCCCTCATGACAAGAGTGGCTCTCACAGCAATGGCCCTGTGACTAAAACAGGCTCTATTCTGATAGCAAGCACATTAAAGAAAACTAGCATCTCAGGTATTTTATTTTTACATGAAAAGTAGTAAAGAGGTAAATGACACAATGATGATATTTAAAAGAAAAGCAAAGGTTGACTGAGAACTAAAAAATAACTGAAGAACGGTTAGATTCACCGTAAGCCAGCTGTGTCTACCTGCTCCGTTATTTAACCCTTCTAATCTGCCATAATTGCCAGGTGTGGTAGAGGCTTCAGACTGGTGTGGCTGAGGCAGGAAACTTGCCATGAGTTTGAGGATAGCCTGGGCTACATAGTTTCAGGCCAGCTTGGACTCAAAACAATCAATTTAGTTAATCAATTGAAATGGCATAATAGAATAACTCCTTCACTTATAGGGCGGGCGTCACATAGTTTTTGTTTCTTATTACTTGTGTATGTGTTACATTTCTGTGTTACAAAATCCCTACACTGAATTGGCTTCATTCTCTCATAATGAAATGCTTGATAATGACACAGATTAGAATCTGTTTTCTGTGCAAATTTGCCCTCTCAGCCTCCATTACTGTTGCCTAAGTCCCTTCCACCCAGTAGCATGCCACGAAGATCTGAACACTCCGGTTGGAGTTAAGCCCAGATTACACTGGAGGGTCCATTTATTTTCACTGATTTAGTCAAAAGAGAGCACAATGCACTGTCGACCTCCTGTGCATGTGTGGAGTGAGTCGCAGTAAGCACACACTGAGTATTCCTTATCCCAGATGCTGACGGCCAGTGGCGCTTCAGACTTTCTGAATGTTGGGGTGTTTGTGTTTACATAAAGAGTTGGGCACCTCGTCCTTTTCATATAGCCTGAAGGTGATTTATATGATATTTTATATTCCACATATGAAACACACTGCCCTTATTTTTGAAACTGGGATCTTCAAGTCCTATGCAGGGACACCGAAACTCGGGGAGAACCCGGATGAAGCACTTGCCATCAGGGATGGTAGAGGAAGAAGGAGATTAGTGAAATCTAGACCACAGGGAACTCTAGGAAGGGTGGTCTACATGGCAGGAGGCAAAGGCCACCCGAGGCAGGCCAGAGAGGCCTGTCTTTGGAGGAGGGAGACAACTCGAGCACCCAGGGGCCTGTGGCTTGGGTGCAGCTGGGTGATCATGTCAGGCTGGTGTAGCAAGGCAGAGGACTGCAGTGGGGTCTGACAAGGCTCAGTAAGGGCAGGTCCGTGTCCCGTGTCAGTCAGCTATAACCCCCACACGTCTGCCCACGGCCTTGTTTTTCTGTCTCCCTGCTGGGAAAATGGTTCCCACTGAGTAAACGTTCACAGATTATTTGCTAATTCGACTTTTATGTTTCCAACAAGCAAACTCTTTGCCTGTTATTGCCATGGGCTTTGTCTTGATAGCAGACTATTGCAGGTCACTAATAAATACAACCGCACAGAGATTTTTCCAGACACCTGTTTTTATTTTTTCCAGACAGAGGTGCCAAATTTAATAAAAAGTTTCAGAAAGTATCTCTGATCATCAATCAAGTTGAAAGAGTGTTTTCCTAGCAAACACAAAGCCCTGGGTTCAATCCCCAGCATGTGTACTCACACATGTAATACCACACTTGGGACGTGGGAGCTGGGGAGTCACAGTTCAGGGTCACCCTCAGCTATAAGTGAGTTCAACACCAGCCTAGGATACATGAGAACTCTGAGGGTGTTTGGGAAAGCTATATGGAAACCTACTATTTTAGGTTTCATATGTGTGTGTAATGATTTATCTAATTATTCTTGATCAATAAAAAATGGGAGTCAGATATCAGGGTAAGAACCTAAATTGTCAGAGAAGGGGCGGAGGAGCTACCAGTGACCTCCTCCCTCTTCCTGTTCCTCCACCAAAAGGGCTGAGATCCTCTCTAAGCACCGCCTTACTACTTCCTGTCTCCTATCTATCCTGAGTCCTCCAAAACCTCTATGGTTAATTGTGGTCAGCTAATGGCTAGCTCCACCCTCTGCTTCAAAGCAAACTATTGTTAGAATTTGATCAAAATATCATACAACATGTGTGTATGTGCACGTGTATGTGTATGTACATGTATATGTGTACACACATGCTCATGCATATTCATATAAGAATTTAATTGGAGTTGTCCTTCACAGGGAATTATATTCATCCTAGAACCCATCCATAGGTTGTCAAATAAAAAGCCTCAAACTCTCCTCTCCTCTATTGTTGGTCAAGGGTATTCTAGAGAACCCCAAAACAATATAAGCTATTGTTACTGCTCTTGATTTCCCATCAGAGCTTAGTTGTAAGATCCTATTGCTGAAGACAGCATACACATGGGTCATAGGACATTGAGAAATCATGTTAGTATTGACCAGGAAGCTTCTTCCCATGCAGGATGGTGGGGGCGGGGAGGTCAGTGGTCTTTTGTTGTTACTATTTTTCAACACAGGGTCTCACTAAGTACCTCTGGCTATCCTGGAATTCACCATATTATCCAGCCTGGCCTCGAACTCAGAGAGATCTGCCTGCTGCCTCCGGGTGCTGGGATTAAGGACGTGCACCATTATGCCTGCCATGGGAGTCAACAGTCTTATCCAGCTGTGACCCCTGTAAACTACAATAATGACTGGTATGGCAACAGTCACATGAATGCTCTGGGGGTAACCAACTGCTTTCTGATTGGAGTCAAGTCCCGTTCACTGGACAAAGTGCATGCCTGGTACTGGAAATCTAGCCAATAACCCAAGGTTGGGGAGTTCACAGGTCTCAGGAGTGAACTTACTACTATTATTTTGTTAACTGGACATTATTCTTTATCATATAAAGAATATAAACCCACACTCTAAATTCATAACTCTCTACTCATAGACTAATGGCATTCTCATACTTTATCAAAGAAGTGTCAAAGTGCACAGAATAAGTGACTAGAGAGTGTGCAGCCACACACAGAACATCCTAGAGAATGCCCTCCCTTCCCTAAGGCTCAGGCACCATTCCAGAAACGGGGCAGAACGACTGTGAGAGCCAGAGGGCAGGGACAACCGAAGCAAACAGCTACACCCATGACCTCGCAGCAGCTGTGAATGCTGGCACCAGACCTGCACAAGAGCAAGCCAGTTGGCATCCTAGCATGCAGTGGGAAGGGCTCATGAACCCTCACTCCAACTCAGGAGCTGTGGACACTGATGGCTCTGGGGGAGGGGGTCGGTTCTCTTTAAGGGTGTGGCTCCTGGTAGCTGATCATGCTGCAGCCGATGGCCCTACACTCAGAAGTATATAGTCAGCACAAACCAGAGTCAATGAATGTTTAATAAATAATTTTTTAAAAAATGAAGACATGAGCCAGGCATCGGTGGCTCACACCTTTAATCCCAGCACTCAAGGGGCAAAGATAGGCGGGCCTCTGAGCTGGAGGCCAGCCTGGTCTATAAGGCAAGTTCCAGCACAGCCAGGGCTACACAGAGAAACCGTTTCTGGGCGTACACTGGGGAAGGACTGAGGGGTAGGGAGGAACCGGAGAAATTAAAGGGAGCAAATTAACTGGGAGCAAATGTGCTCAAAATATACTGTATGAAATTCTCAAAGAATTAATAAAACATATTTTTAATTTTAAAAACTTAAAAATGGGGAATAAGATGATAGCTCAGTTGGCAAAGTGCTGCTGTGTAAACCCTAAGGACCAAAGTTTTCATTCCCAGCATCCCCATGAAAAGCTAGACACAGTGACACATTTTCTCAAAACACACAAACAAAAACAATTTGGAAAGAGACCCCTGCCCCCCCCACAGAGGTACACAGGATACACGCACCAGCACACATGTGCACACATACAACACATAACATAATACAGTTATATGTACCAGCACACATGTGCATACACACAACACATAACACATACAGAGTTGTATGCACCAGCACACATACAAATACTCATTACATGCACAAGCACAAACATGTGTGAGTACACACACAAGCACACACACACTACATACACGTTACATGCACCAGCACACGTGCACACACATACTACATGCAACAGCACACATGCGCACACACACAACACATGCCACACACACTCACAAAATCAAGCAGGCAGACAAACCACCCCGTATGCCCCTTTGAAAGCATAGCCAGAAAGCCTGTGTAACTGAGAGGTGCGCCTTCTTCCTTCTGGGGACATTTCCAGACACTGCATCTTTGTAAATAGTGTATGTGACACATATCAAAGAATCCCTGGTTTCCTTGGCTCACACACCATCGAGGGCCTCCTCCAGAGAATGCGATGCAGAAGCGGCCCATCCTGTGGCTGCATGGGCGAGCCCCAGTCCCCACTGGCAGCCCTCTGGCTCCAGAGGAGGTTATTTTGAGGCAGCCAGGCCATCATGGCAGCCGAGGGTCCTGCGGCTGGACCATCTTCAGGCCTGAAAGCCACTCTGTGGGGAAGGAGGATGATATTTCCTCCGGTTATAAAAACTATTTAAATCAGCTACTCAGTTAACAGGATCTAATTTAAAGACCTTCCCATGTGTCTGCAGAAAATCTGTGGGCTCATTAATAGGCTCATTCTGCTGGTAAATATCGATAGGCTTCCGACCATCACACACACTTACAAAGGGGAAAAATAATGACCAAAAAAAAAAAAAAACACACACACACACAACCCTGTCTGTTACCCAGGAGTCATGCCTCTCTGACTCATCACAGATTCCAGCTCGTCCAGGAAGATGGTGGAGGGGGCGTGATAGCGGGCAAGTTCAAACAGCACCTAAGGGTGAAAAGCAAGGGAGGTTCAAATGTGTGTTCTTACCATAGTCCTTGTCATACACTTAAACTCTGGTCCTCAGACGTTCCCAACTAAAAGTTTACCGTTACTGTAATAATACACATTTGTTCTACACCCGTACTCTGAGGCAACTTTATAACCATCACTATCCTTTCTCCCTAGTTCTACCCTAGGGGGTTAGATGGTCCAATTATTTCAGTTTATCATTTGCATAAATTAGAGCCAGAGAGAATGAGTGGCTAGTTCAAGGTCAGTAATGATAAATACCAGAGCTGAGGATAAAATTCAGTTCCCAAGCTTCTTATTGCCTTGTTAACCCCCAGGGACACCTGCCCCAGGGACACCATTGTTCCAGGTGGACACAAACATCCTTAGAGTACATAGGACCATGTGTAACGTTCCCCCTCCCACCTTTGGGGACAAGAGGATGGTTCGCAGAAGGAGGAATTCCGAAACGGCCAGCCATGGATAACAAACTGAAACTGTCCTTTCCTGCTCCCCAGTTGATCCCCCAGGTCCTCACCCCACCTCAACACTGCCTGCTAGGATTGGGTTCGTCGCGTTCGTCACACACCTCTATTTTCACTTGTTTGTCTGGCATTGTTGCTGGGTTTTGCTGTCGTTTAGAGACAGCTTAAGCCATACTGGAACTTACAATATAGCTCAATTTGGCCGGTGAACTCAGGGGTGATCCCCCTGCCCTGCCTCCCAAATGCTAGAGGAGCAGATCCTCAAAAGCAATTCCTCATTGAATAAGATGTTCTGTTCCAGAGTAAAATATTATAGGCCAAACAAGAGCAAGAAAGCAGCCAGCAAAGGAACAGACATAAAAACAAAATAAAGAGCCCGACAGGGAGATATAGTGATGGTGAACAGTGTGCAGAGCTAAATCTTTCCTCCTTTTCAAATCCTGCAACTCATCTCTTGAGCCCCATACACAGTTCTTCACTGGCTGACTGGAGAGTGCAGCAGTGACTTAGGAAAGAGCACAGAGTCTTTGGTTGCCATGGGGATTTATCCTCCTTGTCACTCAGCACAAGGAAAGCATCACAGGATAAACAGGAGGGGGAAAGCTCCAGTGTGGCTTTTAGGAGCAGGGGCAGAATAACCCTTGGAGACCTTCCTGCCACCAGGGAGGAAATCCCTCACCTTCCCCATGACTCGGGGTCTGATGAGCCCAAGGTGATATGCCAGCACCTCCCTGTCACGGGATCCTGCTTCAAAGGACCTGGCTCCTTCTCATAAACTAAGAGGACTGTGTGTAGATATTTCCTTTAACTGAAACTAATGAGACTCAAGAAATAAAGGGAACCTCAAAGTACCAGAAACTAAAGGGAACTTACAAGACTCAGGAAGTAAAGGGAATTTACAAGACTCAGGGAATAAAGGAATTTACAAGGTTCTGAGAATAAGAGAATTTGCAGGCTTAGGGGAGTAAAAGGAATGTACAAGGCTCAGGGAGTCAAGGGAACTTACAGACTCAGGGAGCTCCTGAAATACAAGATTTATAAGGCCGATTCCATGGAGCATGAACAATTGGTTGGTACAGAAAGGAGATTCTGTGACTAGTGGAACTCCCAGAAAGTTGTTCGTTCAGGGATCAGCAGGTATACAGCCTCCATGAACAATCACCTAAGCTAGGTGGGATTTTCCATGACGCAGATGGCTTTACTTCTATGACCACTCATCTATGTTCCAAAAACTCACTGGTTGACACTTAGGTAGAATGATTTATTTGGTACGTTACCAGTGCCCTATCTGAGTGGATACACATTTGTTCACACCTCCCCAGCAAACATCACGAAGCAAAGGACAGTTCTGGGAAACTTATCACTAACACCTCTCTCATACACTGGGAACCAGCCAATTAGGAGCAAGTAACTATTCTTCCTGTCACAGAAAGAGCAGCCCAATTATGCCTGATTTTAGATGTGATTACGTTAGCTGCAATCTACCCAGTGAGAAAGAGGATGTTCGAGCCCTGTGTCAGACCCACACACAATTTGAAGGAGCTTACTCGGTGTAGGAGACCAAGAGCCTCCTAAACAATAAGTGAGAAGAACTAACTGCACTTAGGGCTTAGGTCTCCAGATTGCTCAAATTACTGAGTTTCCTTTCCCGGAGAATAAATAGAACCCTGGTAAGTGCTTCTAGAAGCATTAGTCTAAAATGTCCAGAGGTGCTCAGAGGAAGTTAAATCATGAGAGGGGGAGGGAGACGTGATCATCAACAGGTGTATGCATTTGCTAAAGAGATCACTCGGCTACTCAATAGTGCTCAACTCCTAAGAGGCAATAGCATTAGGAGAGGAGGGGTTCACAGCCCAAAGGTTCCCTATAAATAACTCCTTAATTGGAATAGAAAGAGAAACAAATGGGAGAAAACACTTTTCTCATTTAGGGGAAGGGCCTAAAGGGCTTGCTTTCTCTAAAAACCTTTACAGGAAGAAGTTGACAGAATGATGAGAACCCTCCAGGTGAGGATCTTCCCAAATCTCAAAGGACAAGGAACAAATAACTTCCGCAAGGAAATAAGATGAGAGCCTTCAAGATTGGCAGGGCTTTCCAGTTTCATCCTGAGTATTTTTCAAATATTTAAATCAAAATATATTTTCATAAGAAAAAAGAAATGTGCGTCTTCTACCGTAACTTGTAAAATGCTCACATTAGGGGCCTGGGAGATGGCTTGTTCAGTGAGGTGCCTGCCATGTGAACATGGCGGATGAGTTCATATATTCCAAATCAAAAACATGTGTGCTTCCACTCATTTCTCTTACATGTGTGGTGAAGGAGAGGGGGATCGGGGAGAGGAGGCTCTGCCTCACTCCTAGAATAAAACTACAGCAGAAAGAAGAAAAAACCTGAACTGAATAAAATACTCATAGGGAAGGGAGAAATTTTGTGATTTCTAGCCATTCAACACCGAACAAGGAACCGTTTCCTTTCCATCTCTGTTGAGGATATTCACGGAATACCCAAATATACATGCCTGCCCACCTAAGACTCGTCCAGGGGGTCTGGGATCTTTCTGTAAGCACTTTGCAATGTTTTGTGCTCGTGGTTCAAAACACGTTTTGTGACAGGACATGAATCTGTACCATCCATGGGAGGGCATCTTTTGTGAGTTGTATTACTGTTACTCAACACACAGAAATTAAACACACACACCCCAGAGTTGTAGGCTGATAATGATTGTAGTTAACTGAATGTCAGCCCTTTGAAACGGAGCCAATCAGAACCCTGGAAATCCATCCACACACCTAAGAGCAGATGAACAAGAGTCCTTGGGGACCTGAAATAGTCTCAAGATAAAGATCAAAGCAGAAAATGTAGGTAAATATTTTCACAGATTTCTTCTTGGTCCAGGCATGGTGGTATACGTCTATAATCCCAGTACCTAGGAGAATGAGGTGATCCCAGAAGACAGATCATAAGTTTAGGGCCAGCCTGGGCTTCATCTACAAAAAGACCTTGTCTCAAAACAGTGCCACTACAATAAACGAACAACAACGGGAAAGAAATACAGTGCTGATGGGGTGATAAAAATTCATAAAAATGTAAACATTTGAAACAACTTGAGAACAATATCAAGGGACTAAGGGCCAATCTAGTGTTGTGGCACTTGCCTGGAAGGCAAAAGGCCTGCATTTAATCCCCAGAAGATGACTGACTGAATAAATAGTCAAAGTAATAAATAATAGGTACAGCTTCATTTTTTAAGCAAGCCTTCTAAAATATTCCATTATGTCTCCCAAGCATCTATAATCATTTGGAAATCAGCCTTACGAGGAGCGTAATTCCAGCATAATATTTTAGGATACTTTCTCTTCAGAAAGTAAATTTTACATTCACTTAGTATTGATTACTTATCAGTCCTTCTACAGGGGGCAACAGTCTAACAGGGTTTCTGGCAAGGATCCCCCTTCATGGTGAGGTATACATCATAAGCAGCTGTTCTCTTAGGGTGACAGGAGATGCAGCAAAATGTCATAGTGGAAGAGATGCTGTGGACCAAGAATGAGATATTGTGAAAGATGGAACGGGCCTTCAAGGAAAGAGGATGGTGTGCAGGCAATGAGCAGAGGGAGAAACGTTGCTCAGAACATCCAAAAGAACAATTAAGCTTTAAGTCTCTCGATTCCTCCACCGAGTACTTAGTGTAGGGTCTGGCACCCAGCAGCGGCCTCTCACTAAACGTTAACTGGATATACTGTACACATTTAATAATGAATGGTCCTTGCGTGGAGAAAACAGCAGGCCACTTTAGAGACATTTATTCTAGCTTTTATCACTAAATTGTGTGACTCAAAAAAGGGCTGTTGGCAACTTCAGAAGAAGGGAGTCCATGTTTTGCTGATGGCAATCTGATTATTATCCACCTGTGACAACTAATCCACTTCCTAGGCGTTTGGTAGTCACGATCCAAGTGGAATCTAGCGTATATATCACCTTGAAACAAATAAGCATAAGTTTGTATTTCCGTATTCTAGGAAAATGATTTTTAAAAAAATACTAAGAATTCCTACCCGGACAAGTTTTTCTGAATCCCCTCTCCATTTGCTGACAATAGTGGATGCAGAAATGTTGAAGAAGGTGGTTTTGCATTCAGTGGCCACAGCTTTGGCCAGCAAAGTCTTCCCTGTACCTAGGACACACGAGGATAAACATGAGCAGGTGTTTCTGCTCCTCGCCTCCCACCGGCATCCTCTGCCTGGTTCTCAGGCAGAACAGAAAGATGCGTTTACCTGGAGGGCCATAAAGCAGCAGTCCTTTCCAAGGGGAGAGGATCCCTGTAAAAAGCTGTGGGTACTTGGAGAACAAAGAACAAGGTGAGCATGGAAACAATCAACCGCGCAGCCTTAGCAGGCGGGCAGGGGGCCATGCCTTAGCAGGCGGGCAGGGGGCCATGCCGACGGCCACTCTACAGCTCAGGCCACTTTTTAAGGTCTGTTCCGTTGTGTGTACCTTGCTTGTCACAATGGCATTTTCACTCTGGGTAAAAATGTCAGATTTAACTTTGTTTGTTTGTTTTTAAGATAGGGTTTCTCTGTGGCTTTGGAGCCTGTCCTGGAACTAGCTCTTGGGGCCAGGCTGGTCTCGAACTCACAGAGATCCACAGACTTAATTTTTACGGCTTCTTAAAAACAATAAATAAATAGGGGAAAGAAAGGTATATGCAGCTATCTTCTCTGTGACAACAGTTATTTCTTAGGCTTGTGGTTTCCTTTCCCTCTGAGTTCTCTATGTGGAGTGTTTAGCGCCTTTTTAAAATTGTAAAGAAGGCACAAATTCAAGATGAATCCTACAGCCAACCCATAAAGGCGTGTGCCCGTGTGGAGCTCTATGTGAAGCCTGCAGCAGGGGCCGGGACAGACAGAGTCAGAGGAAGCTCGCAGATTTCAGCTGAGTCTGTTCCATTAGTTCAAGTTCAAACCGTCCAGGAGCTGGGCAGGACTGGTATCAAGGACAGGGGAAAGGAAATGGTAAAATTACTGCATCCTTCGAGTCTCAGTCACACTGACAACAAACTCACTATCACAGAACTAACACATCCGGAAAAGGGGGAGGGGCTGCAGCTCTGAGGTAGATCTCCTTCCTACCATGGTAAGGGCCGTGGATTTGTTCCCCAGAATAATGAGAAGATAACACACCCAAGGTGCCTGTGACATTCTCTGTCCTCCCTAAAATTTCTGTGCTATGGTCTCTCTCTCAGTTCTGAATAAACATAAGTCCTACTCCCATATTAACAGCAGAAGAAGGGGATGGGGGGAAGGTAATCTGAATTTAATGTTTTTTATTCCCTTAAAATAGAAGTATCCTGGGGCTGGAGAGATGGTTCAGAGAGAAAGAGCACTGGCTGCTCTTCCAGAGGTCCTGAGTTCAAGTCCCAGCAACCACACAGTGGCTCACAACCATCTGTAAGGAGATCTGATGCTGTCTTCTGGCATGCAGGCATACATGGAGACAGAACATTATATACATAGTAAATAAATAAACATTAAAAAAGAATAAAATACCCCCCTCAAATCAAGAGCTTCATGGAATCAGAGGTAGCAATATACAGTTGTTGTTTTAATGAGTAATCCTGGCTGGCCTTAGGAAATTATAGTTGTTAGCCCCAAATTCTGGATAGTGGCTTCCAACAGAAGAAGGCAGAGTTCTCCACCACCTGCATCTGGTTCCTGGCCCTCTGACCTTGCCTGACCTTGCCCAAAGGGATGCTAAAATATATAAAACCTGCTCAGGACCTCTGCAAGAGCTGCAGCTGGGCTAGGACCCGCACTGGAGTAGTGCCCACTGGGCTCCATGCTCCTGCACCGACACAGTGTGGCCCAGACAAAAGGCCAACTTACAGGCAGATGGCAACAAGCCTTCCCTTCTTGACACAGCTTGTCCAGTTGACAGTGATCAGAAACACAGTTCCCCAAACTTACCCTTATTGGGTACACAACGGCTTCTTTGACTAACTGCTTGGCCGCGTCCAGTCCAATGATGTCATTCCACTTTATGTTGGGGTTGTGCAGATAAATGTCCTGCAATGTGCATTTGATTTTTGTTTTTAATCTGTGCTGCCCTGTTTTCTACCATTTCTGGAATAAACATGGCAGCACAGAACATGACTTAATAGGCTATAATAAGGTGTTGGTGATAAAAAATGTTTCATGAGTATTGTAATGCATACTCACACATACATTATAATGTGGGGTAAGTTTACCAAAGAGAAGGTGAAGTATTCGGCAATTTTCCCTGAAGAAGATATTGATAGCATAATACTGTACTTTGGGGGGGGGTTGTCTAATGTGAGCCACCAGTCAATAGCAACCTGTGCTGACTTATGACCATAGTTGAGAACTGCCCCCAAATTACCCTAATTTTTAGTGAAAATATATCCTTGCCAATGCCGGGCATCTGTCTAGCTGTTTGATCTGGCAAACGCGTTCTCGATCTATTGCAAAGAGAGACTGCTCCCACACTCCCCTGGAACCAATTCCCTTTTTCCCTAGTGAGCATCTCCTGCTTCCAGCTGGGACCATTGCTTCTGCAACTCCCAAGGGGGCCAACAACCAAGTACTGCCCTTTCCCCTCCTGCCGGACAGCCTTGTAGCAACCGCCCTAGGGCGATCAATAAGTAGCTTTTACTGATAACTAATTTACAGTTTCCCAATTTCAATGTCATAAGATGCCTCTGAACAGCGACTCAGGCAAACAATGTCTGGAGTATTACTTATTTTTTTTTAAGGTCCTCTCCTATATGTCATTCTGACTAAAGAACAAGTCTGAAGACTGTTTCTCTATGTGTTTGTTTGGTGTGTTTTTTTTTTTTTTTAAATAAGCGAGATGTGCACATGTTTCAAAAACATAAAAGTATGTTTTGGAAACGGCATATGATGTTATGGCCCCTATGTCCATCTCCCCTCTCCCCGGCATTCTCCACCAAGAGTTCCACTTAACTGAGAGAAAGTATTTATCCGAAATGACGGGTCATTGTTGGACAGGGTGGTGACAAAGGACTCAGTCCTCCATGTTGTGTGTTTTTAGAGAGGGTCTCACTCTATACCCCTGGCCTGGAATTCACTGTGTAGCCAGCTGAGTGCGGGATGACGGAGGCTGCATCACACCTGACTCGGGCTTTCAAAACTTGGGGAGAGCACACATTTCTGACGAAGGCCTTTCTTAGGAAGTCTTGGCAATGAGGGTCACAAGGAGGGTCCATCTCCTTTAGTATTAGAACCATCCATGGATAAGTGCATTCCTCTCCACAGTCCAGAGGTGACATGAGTTTAACAAGATGGTGCTTAGTTTCCCAACCCAAAGTCCTTCCTCATGTACATCCAGAGTTATCTGTCACAACTCAGCAAGTTTGCCCAGTGCGGTAGTGATCTTCCCGTCACCGGAAGCATACAAGAAGGAGCCGTGCCCACTTCCTCCCATAGTGTGGGGTCCTCTCAGGTCATCCCCACTCTCTACGCTGAACTTCAGTCATGCTGGCCTTTTGCAAAAACAGGAAGGAGATGGCAGGTTTTTGTGGGTATGAGAAGTGCTAGCCTCTGCTTCCTTGTGCGTCCTGACCTGGCTTGCGCTTTATCCTGCTTCACTGATGAAAACCTTATGGCCGCCCGGTCTTCTCCATTGCTTTATCACCCATCCACTTCACTGAAACTACCTCTTAACATACAGGCTGCCCTGCCCAGGACCGGGTTGCCAAGGTTCTCCTCTCTCTACCCAATTCTCCACCTGGAGACCCTTCTTCTAGAACCCGCCCCTCTCTCCACCCCAACTTTGCTCCGACTGCCGTCCAGCTAGCTCCCTCTCCTCCATCCTTTTCCTTTTGCTCTCCAGATGCACTCATCCATGTAAGCTGAGTCTCCTGAGGTAAGCCTGGGCGGGGTGGCTCCTCTCTGTCTGCAGACCCTCTGTCTGTCTGCAGGCCCTCTGGCTGTGTAGGGGACTTCTGCTGACTGAACAGAGCAGCATAGACAACCTTGCAGCTCAGCAACTGGGCACTTTTTAGAGGATTTTCAGCATCTTCCTGGCTCTACCTCAGTTTCAGGCTCCAATTAAATTGAGATCAGTGGAAATCAGAAAAGTCTTCTGTAATCAATAACCTATTCTTATCCCAAGGAGCTTGCCTAAAACCATATAGCCAGAAAGCAAGGGCTCTAGAAATCACATGCGGGTCAGTTGATTTCGGGGCTGCATCAATGACCGCTAATTTTCACTGCCTTTAGGTTCCAGGGCACACGCTTGAAGTATTGGTACCCTGTGGTAAAATCTTTCTTACAAGTCTTGTTGTGTTCACAACAAGGGGTATCAGCTCCTCACACCCCTAGGTCCTGTGTTTCCAGGCCGCTGTGTTTTAAATAAAACGCATCTGCGCCCCTTGCATTTCTAGAACCTTCTTTCGCCAGCTCTGGGGCCCACAGGAAAGCCTTTCACCTGTCCCTCCCTTTCTGCATCTTTTTGGCTGCCTGTTTTCCTGGCCCCTATAGTAGGATGGTGGGCTTTTTCTATTGTAATTTTATGATTCTATAATTTATTTATCATGCATTATTGTGCCTCTGCAAGTGGGGGCGCTTTATAAATAAATGATCATATTTATTGTTATTAATAAAAGAAGCGGCCCACAATGCTCCAGGAGCCCTGGTCTGCCTCCATAAATTTGTGAATTGAATAGCAGATCTTACCCGGCTCACCACCGCTGCCAATTCTCGCATCTCACTGTTCATGCCAATAAATGCACTCAGAGGTTTCAGCAAGCGTTCCTGGTGAGAGGGACAGAGTGGCTGGCGCTATGAAACTGCTTCATCATTCAGGAGGGAGAGTGTGCGGGGTCTTAGAAACAAACAGGGACTACACGAGGTTTGGGCAGTTTGAAGGTGGAGGAACATAGATCTTGGTCACTTACGGAAGGGTCTGGGTTACTTTCGAAAGTGTTCAAGGCAAGTTCACTGGTGGCCCCTTTGATAGCATCTGTGAGCAGCCCCCGGAAGTCAATGATTTGGCCCTAAAAGGGAGCAAAGGTTTCTTAAGCCATAAAAACAGAGGACCACAATAGCCTTAGTAGCCATGGATCTATATCCGTGTATGCGAGGCAAAGCTTGTCTGAAGGGAAAGCTGAACTATTGCTGAATAACCAAATGTGTTAAGTCAGGACTGTATTAAAAAAAAAACCCAAAAGACAAACAAACAAAAATAATACCCAAATAATTCTTCAGGATGGTGTTAGATGAGTAAATTCATGGACTTTTGCATCCCTGACACCCACCGTCTGCTTCCTCGTGTGGTTACGTGCCCTGTCTGACCACATCCCTTTAAAACATCGCACACACAGGAAGAACCCACTGGGACAGGGATAAAGATAGGTCCCGCAGAGGACAGCCTGGGAACAAAAGGGTATGCAAGGTTCTCAGGCCACTATTACCCCTGCTAGTGGTGAGTGACATTTTAATTTCTGTGGAGGCAAGCGGGGGAAGTTAAGCAATTTGCCCAGGGCCATAAGACTAACAATGGGCTGAGGCCAGGACTCAAACCCAGATATTTGATTCGGAAATGTCTTCTGTAGTGTCATGAATTTGAATTTCTGGCCCTAAGTAACTGCTGGCGCTCTTACAGAGGTTGTTGAACCCTTGGGACTGCCTAGCGGATGTTGGCCACTACCAGCAGCCCTTTCAAAGTCACACTTAACTCTGATTCTAGTCTAGCTTCTGCGTCCTGGCTGGACACTATGGAAGGGATCCAACCACAAGCTCTCACTGCTACAGACAGAAGCCGCCCCGCCATGCCATGCTGGCCGTGATGGACAGCCCCCGAAGTAGGGAGCCATGGCCTCCCTCCTCAGGTTGCTTCTGTCCATCATTTGGCCATGATACGAAGAGTAACTACCATAATCTTCCATGCTCCTGGTGTTGTTTCCCTCGGAGTCAGGACAGGGCATCAACAGAGCAGGTAAGACACACCTGCAATGCTTACAATCACCAGTGTTAGCTGCATGCTTATTATGTGGCCGCGGAGACATGAGGAGCTCCCTTCACCCTCACATTTAAAGCAGGTAGTATTGTTCCCATTTTACAGATTAATAAAATCAAACCCCATAAGGCTTGACCACAGCCTGACCACTGTGGCGCTGGACAAGCAGACTCCCAAGCCTGTGCTCCAAAGGACAACACACTTCAAAAAGTTTCAGCAAGGCGCCGGGATCTGAAGCTAGAGCTCCTAATGTAGTGATGAGAAACCCTCTTAGGGGGAGGTCCCAGGCACTATCACTCAACCCGTGAACATCTGAAAACCAAAGGCGGTGGGGGGGTGTCTACCTTTTACCCTAGCCATTTCTACTAGAAACAGGATTTATGGCCAGACTATTTCAAAGGGTTAGTGCTGGTTTACACAGTCCCTTCCTTGCCACTCACTCAGTGTGAGGTGTTCACAAGAGACTAAAGCCACAAAACTGCTGGGGGCTAAGGATTTGACAGAGGAGGGGAGGACCAATTCCTGGTGGGAGGCAGCATCACCTCCTGCAGCAGTCAGCTCCCTGAGGCCTGCCAGGGAGCCCACGCAGGCCCATAAAGCAGGCCCCAAGCTTGGCCGGTCAGTGGGCCTGATAACCCTTCCATCACACACCACAGTGATTAGTTCATCTACAGTGCAAGCCGCAGCCAACCCAGCAGTCAAGTTCAACAACTTGACTGGAGGAGAAGAGTTAAAGAAGGACAGCCTGGAGGATCCCTCGGGACCTTGAGGTGCTTCTCCTTGTCAAAGGTCCACAACCCCTACCTGTTACATCCACACCATGCAGGGACTTTCCTCTTGGAGAAACTATTGTTTACAGAGTCAGGCCTGGGTTTCACCAGAAAGATGGAGAAAGGGCTAATGGTGCACACCTTTAATCCTAGCACTCGGGAGCCAGAGGTGGGGGGATCTCTGGGAGTCTGAGGCCACCGGAGCCTATATTGGGAGCTCTATGCCAGCTAGTGAGACCCTTGTTTCAAAAAAAAAAAAAAAAAAAAAAAAAAAAAAAAAAAAAACACAAAGAAGGAGGAGGAAGGAAAGGAGGAGAGCAGAAATGTCTGTTGAGCACAGTACCAGCTCTAAACCAACTCATCTTCATGCTTCACAAATCATCACACAAGTCTGGAGCTGTGGAGCTGTGTTTCCAAGCGGGCATCAAACAACCACCCTCGGTAGGGCCCAAAACAAATGTTCATGGGACCCTTGGGGCTGCCCTTCGCTGGCTCACTGTAACGTAGCACACCAATGTTTGTCACGGTCATCAAGGCCTTCTCTGTACCCATTTCTGATGCTGGGAGCAAATGCCAGGTTTTGTGGACGGCACACAAACACTCTACCACCAGATTGCACCCCAGCTACTCACTTAAGCAGAAAGGAACATAGGACCCTCTGTCTCCTGAACTCCATGTGCAGATGAGGAGACAGTGGTCCCTAGAGAAGGCCCACACTAGGTCATCCTTCCAGGAAGGAGAGGGCAGATCAGAACTGCATTGGGGGGTCTGATCTTCACCTCACCTTCCCTCACAGCAAACCTTTAATACTTCTGTTGTTTGGCAAGAATCATGTGCTTTCTTTTCCTTTTCCCAGAGAGAAACAAACAGCCCTTTCCATCCTAGAACCCCAAGTCCCACTTACTCTTCGTGGGTGGGCCTTCTCCTCTGTGCTGTCTTTGTGGATTTTTGATATGTTCAGGCCAAAGTTAGCACTGTCAATTTGAGTGTTACTGACACCCTCCTGGAGAAATAGGAAGACTGTGAGAAGCTGGACAAGAGCAGCTGTGACCCTGGCTCTGCCTGTCCATCCCCCACGCAAAACCTAATGCTGGGTACCAGCTTCTGTAAAATGGCGATCTGGTCAGCTTTTCTCAGGTTGCCAGGACCAATTAACCATGTCCCTGAGCCACGGGGAAGGGGCTAATCCCAGAGGCTGAGAAGACTACAGGCCATGGGCTCTGTGCCTGTGGGAGACACCCGTCCTCAGCCTCTCCCAAGCCCGTCCTCAGCCTCTCCCAAGCCCATCCTCAGCCTCTCCCAAGCCCGTCCTCAGCCTCTCCCAAGCCCGTCCTCAGCCTCTCCCAAGCCCGTCCTCAGCCTCTCCCAAGCCCGTCCTCAGCCTCTCCCAAGCCCGTCCTCAGCCTCTCCCAAGTATCTTTTCTGGCTTGTCTTTTCTCCTCTGGCCAGGGCTGGCCATTCAGCACAGTCACCCAGCTTCCTGTGGAACTCACCTGTCCACATCACCTCCCTTCTACCTCGGGCACAGCCACAGACCCTCTGCCAGCCAACTGAATCCCATGACCAGCTCTTCCCATCCCACTAGCCCTCAGCAGTAACTTTGTCTGTTCCCACTGGTCCTTCTCTGGGATGTTCTGCCTAGATAAGAAGATCTGGATGTAGAGCTCCAGAGGCAGGAACACTGATTTCTCCCATCTGCTGGGCCCACCTCTCTTGCTACAAAGTCTAGTGTTGGGGTATGGGATGAGGACTAACCCTACACACTCTGCAGAAACCCAACAGGAGATGCCGAGGCCCAGCTGTGCCTCAGACTGTTCCTGGACAACACTGGGGAGTTGGAGGACATGCCTGGATGGGGAGACATGCTTTCTGCACTTACCTCAACCACAAGAATCTTACCAGCCAGCCCAACACCATCCAATACCCTCGCCCCAGCTGAAGCTAGGGAAGGAGCTAGAAAATCTAGGAACTTATCCATTTTTTTCTTTTCTTTCTTTTGCTCCAGAATACTAAAACTAAATCTTTAGTATTCAGGGACCTCTACAGTTTAATTAACTCATATAGCAATTTTTAAAAAGAGAACTTCAAAAAACAAGTAAATAAGCTATTTTTCTTGAGGCCACGTGTCAGCCAAGTGTGGTATTACCGACATCAAGCAGTCACCTCGACCTGTTTAGAATGTTCCTTGACAGATCTGGTGTCCCCTGTCTTCACTGCTGAAGTTTTGGGTCGAGGCTTCTGCTGATATATCTTAGGAAGATTTTGACAATTGTCATTCATCACCCTAAGGAAGGAAACGAAAACCTTCAGGGAAGTATTCTTACCATTTAATTCAAGGTAAGTAAATAACTAGTTTAACACATTTAAAGAAAGTTCCATCTGACCATTTACTTGTTTTATCTCACCAGGCTCCAACTCGCTCCTGTCTACTCACTGGGATCCTCCCAACTAAGCTAGAGGGCCCAACCCGACCCTCCCAGAGGCCCAACCCAACCCTCTTCCATTCTCTCTCACAACACAGGGTTTCCCTACTTTCACAGGTTGCTTTAGTTTTCAAAAACCCACCATATGAATAATATTTTTTTTTAATCTTAAAAAAACAAAACAACGATAAACATTGCTTTAGACTAGCCGTTCTCAGTCTGTGGGTCTCAACCCTTTTGGGAGTCAAAGGACCCTTTCACAGGGGTTACATATCAGCTATCCAACTTACCAGACATTTACATTAGGGTTCTTAACAGTAGCAAGATCACAATTATGAAGCAGCAATGAAAATAATTTTGTGGTTGGGGGTCACCACAACATGAGTAGCTGTATTAAAGGGTCGCAGCATTACGAAAGTTGAGGAGCCCTGCTTTAGAAGAACACTCCCATTGTTAGCACCTCATTTGGACCAGGGAGATGTGTGGGTGGAGAGAGGAAGCGGCCCTTCCATTCAAGTTATGAAATGTCAGAAGACCCAGGGCTCTGTCTGGGTTGTAACCCTGTATGCTGAATATACTTCCTCTGTGTAAGACATCTCTTAGCGTCAGAAACATCAAAGGGCCTACAGGCTGGAGAGATGGCTCACTGGTTAAGAGCGCTGGCTGCTCTTCCAGAGGACCTGAGTTTGGTTCTCAGAACCTGAAACAGGCAGTTCAGAACTGCCTGACTCCATCTCCAGGGGACCAGACACCCTCCTCTGGCCTTTACAGGCGACTACACCCAGATATACACAAATACCCATAAATATGTAATAAAACGTTTTGCAAAGAGGGCTATGAAAGGACAGCAAAACTTAGCCCATGTCTACTGTCACATGCCATTCATCTTTGCAAAACTATTTCTCATCAGTATATTCATTTCCAGAAAAGCACACTAACAGGGCTGGGAACCAGAAAAGTGGCTAACTCCGATAAAGAAGGGAAGGGACAAAGGGAGTCTACGGCGAAGGGTGTCATTATAGTCATAGCACACACATCTGAATGTGTGTCACACACCACAAGGGCAGAACCCTTTGTTCTGCACCTCCTCATCAGTAGACAAGGAAGAAGAAGAGGAGGAGAAGGAGAAAAAGGAAGGAAGGAAGGATGGAAGGAAGGAAGGAAGGAAGGAAGGAAGGAGGATAAAAAAGGTTATCAGATGTTTGCATTTGGTAATGGAAGACAAGGTCAGAGGCATGCAGGGCCTTCTTAGGAGGCCAGCATAAGTGCTCTCTTCTCTCAGCTCTTTGCAGGGTGTTTACTGCAGGGATGGCTCTCATGTTGTACAGGATCTCAGACAGCTCTGTCTCAGTTCCGGTTCATTATGGAAGAGAAAAGTTGATCATCTCTTGTATAACCACCATGTCAGCAATACTACCGGTGTCCACACTCTCATGTTCAACTCATGAGAAGTGGACACAGACCATTCCTAGGGCATCTTTTTTCATCTCTAACTTAGAGATAAGATAATCTGTCTGTCAGGCCTTCTGCTGGCACAAAATGAAATAATCATGAAATGAATATCAAGCGTTTTATACATGCAAACTCTACTAACAGGTTGGTTTAAATGAAGTTATAGATAACACAGACACACAGACACACAGACACATCTCAACATCCATTTGTGTCTTTCCAAGAACCAGAGCTCCTGTCTTTCCATTCTGACTTCCCACTAACAGCAAAATGAGCTACAAAGTTTGCTTTACTGACTCCAGACAAAAGCCCCAACGATTATAAAATGTTTCTGAATACAGAACCCGACTTCTCCTGCCCTAACCTTACCTATCAGTCCTAGCTCAGGAGAATTCTACGGAGAAGGTCCAGCCTCTTGCTAGGGTTGGCAACCTGACTGGAGAGGTGGCTCAGGGACTTTCACCAGTACTCATGTGGCAGCTCTCAGCTGTCTGTGACTCCATTTCCAGAGGATTCCATGCCTTCTTCTCTTTTCTACAGATACGCATGCAGGCAAAAACACTCATTTAAAAATAAAAACGTCTACGGCATTAATGGGCCACACCTGGGACATGCCAGATGCCAGTGAGGCTGTTTTCAGAGAAGTTAAACTGGGAAGAGAAGACCTAGCCTAAATGTGGGCAGCAGCAGTGTTGTACTATGTGGGGATATGCTGCTGTGGTTGGTTTAATAAAGGGCTGAATGGCCAATAGCGTGGCAGGAGGTGTAGGCGGGACTTCTGGCCAGGAGACATGGAGAGGAAAACAGGCGGTTGCAAAATGCAAGACAGGTGATGCCACATAACAGAGTTTAGATGGATATGGATGGGATGATTTAAGTTATAAGAGCTAGTTAGGAAGAAGTCTAAGCTAAGGCCAACTTTCATAATTAATAATAAGTCTCTGAGTCATTATTTGGGAGCTCGCTAGTGAGACAAAAAAAAAATATTTATTAAACAGCATCCCATGGGTTGGGTTGGGGTTCTAGAATTAAAAAAAGAAAAAAAGGAGAAAGCCAACTGTCCTTTTTCTGCTCCCTGGCCACCATGCTTTCTCCAGCATGACAGAGTACATCCCTCCTCCGCCAAGCCGCCCTCTGCAGTGGTGAGAAAGCAGCTAACACAACTCTTAGCAGGGCCGAGGGGATGTCCAGTGTGCTGGCCACACACTCCTAGATGTTCCTGTCGCGGGCTGCTAAAGCCGCCTGGCTCCAGATCCCTCCTTGCCTTGGTTAGCTGCTCGCTGCTCACTGTCTTTAGAGCAGACTAAACCTGCCTCCTGAGACCACATCACACCTCACTCAAGAGGAGCTGCCCTACTGTTAACTTCAATTCTAGCCTTGGATTTGGCAGTGGAGAAGCTACTTGTTAGAGTCCATGATCTTAGGCCCATCCCACAAATTCTCGAGCCTTCTGGGACCCCAATCCTGTCACCTGTCTCATTAGATAACGTCTCTCCCTTGGCTTATCACCAGATCCGTAACTGGGAGAAATCTCTGGTGTGAGGCACAAAAGTAGGAAAGGACACTTGGATGACTGATAGCCAACCTGATGGCACACCCTGTTACTGAGCGAGTATTTCAAATAAAACTATGCCCAGAGCAGCTGCAGAGATGGCCCCGTGGCCAGGAGCACTTGCTGGTTTGTGCTGCGGAGAGCACTACTGCCTGTAATCCAGTTCCAGAGGATCGAGTGCCCTCTTCTGGACTCTGTGGGCACTGCACACATGTGGTGCACATACATGGTGCACACACGCACACTCACATGTGGTTAAAACACTCTCACACATAAATAAAAGTCTTTTTTAAAAGAAAATTCCACAGTGGCAAGAAACAATGTCCACTGCTTTCCTGATTCTCCTCCCTGACTAGCCATTTGGTGTTCAAGCTTTGTGCTTGCTGTATACAGACATCAACCCAGAAGAGCCGAGGAAACCCCAAGGGGCACAGGTGTCAGTCCCTCCCTCCCTTTCCTTCGCTCACCAAGTATCTACCAGGTGAAGTGCCCTAAGCACACAGCAGGCATGCATTACTGAAAAGCAATCAGAGCCCGAGTACATCCCAAGCCTGGCCTCTTAAAATGCGCTCACTGTTGCTACTCACAAGTCATTATCGTTTGTCACCAGAGACTGACCAGCTTTGTGGGAACTACAAATAAGGCAATAGCACCTCCATCAAGACAGTGCAGCGACACTGTCCTTTCAGCAAAGCAGTGGTGGCCTCAGGCAGGACTGTCCTGAAGAATGTATGGCTCTGTCCAGCACTGTTACAGATGACGTACAGAAGAGATGATGCCTACTGGAGATGATGCCTACTGGAGATGATGCCTACTGGAGATGATGTCTAGTGGGGATGATGCCTAGTGGGGATGATGTCTACTGGAGATGATGTCTACTGGAGATGATGTCTACTGGAGATGATGTCTACTGGAGATGATGCCTACTGGAGATGATGCCTACTGGAGATGATGCCTACTGGAGATGATGTCTACTGGAGATGATGTCTAGTGGGGATGATGTCTACTGGAGATGATGCCTAAGGAAGATGATGTCTAAGGAAGATGATGTCTAGCAGGGATATCGGGATGACACCTAGCAGTCCTGGTGAGGTCTCTGGGTTCTTCCTTCTCTGGCTGGATACAAGGAACTGAATTCACAAACTGAGACACTGGATGAGGCCTACAGAATGGCCACCTCTCAAGACTTAAGCGCTTACTATCTCAATCTAAGTTTCCTTTCTCCAGCACATTCTAAGATTTAGAAAATAATGCTTTTCATTGCCTAAATGAGCATGGAGTGCAGTTCTTTCCAGAATCCCACTTACATTTTACCCTAAGCTTTTGGCTTTTTTACATTAGCAAAAACCTACTGCCCCAAGCCAGCCAACCCTGGGGAATATTCCAGAAGCTACTCCTTCTTTATAAAAAGCAGTGATGAGAACTGGGGGGTCAATCTTTTAACCTTAGGGATCCAGACTTTCCAAGCCACATGGCTGAGAAAGACTGGATATCACTGAGTATAATTTTCAGTGACCTGGGAGACTCTTAAGTCCAGGCAGTGGACTCAAGAGGGGACTCTGAGGTCACATGGCCTCAGTCTGGTGTTGCTGGCAGACAGTCATGGGGCTGTACTGGAGACTCTTTAGGAAACAGACTCTTAAGAGTGAAGTTGATCAGGCTTGGCATGGTGGTGCACACCTTTAATCCTGTCATTCAGGAGGTTCAGGCAAGTGGATCTCTGTGAGTTCAAGACCAGCCTGGTCTGTAGAGGAAGTGCCAGGAAATCCAGGGCTGTATAGAGAGACACTGTATCAAAATGAGAGAGAGAGAGAGAGAGAGAGAGAGAGAGAGAGAGAGAGAGAGAGAGAGAGGAGAGAGAAAGTTAAGCTGACCAAGATGAATCACCTTACCTTTTGCTCTTCCCTCCATTTCTTGTCAGTAAATTATTTTCTACTGTGGAAAAACAAACGGGGGAGGGGTGAATATAGTCTTAGAGAGCAAACAAACTTTCAAGTACATTTTTCTTTCACAGTGTTCTTATATGTCCTTACGATGTGTGCTACAGCTCTCTGGACCACAGACAGCCGTTTTGACAAGCAGACAACAGGAGGGAGTCACAGTTTCTCGGGCACTTAGAGCCACAAAGATGTAGACACCCTGGCCTCAGTAAGTAAATGTGTCTCAGGCCCCACGTTGTGGGAGGCTGGCTTTATGGCTTTCCACTCCACTGAGTTTTCCTGAATTTGCCACTGTTTTTCTGGGTCACATAGCACTCCAGAACTGCATGAGTCTGACAGGAACATTTACTGAGTCACATCTGCCAAGTGACCTTTAGAGTTAAGCCACTGTGTTCAGTGTCACTGGGGAAAGTGAGTGCTAAGCTAGGACAGCGACCAGTTTCCTGAGACCGGGCTGGGCTTGTCTCTCGGTAGGAGCCAGTGCCCAGCTCAAACAACCAGCCAAGCCACTGAGCTCCCAGCTCTTCACTGGAAGACAGCTCAGAGAAAATAAAAAGATAAAATTAAAATCGCCGACCTCTTCCAAGTCTAGATTTGCCCTGGCTATTTTTAATTGATGTTCCTCTCGGTTTCCTGGTCCCTACATGAAATGTTAACATCTGTGGCTTAACAAGTGCCTTGTAAACAGGACAACGATCTCCCTTGGTTTGTAATTACTTCCCCTGCTTACAGACTTCTAAGTCAATGACACCAGAAACCTAGGACCTCAGCTTCGGAGCCTCACTCTGACTGCTGACCTATCCTGCGTCTCTGCATTCTATTGATCAGCATCTGGATTGATGGCTTTCAAAAGCATTTCATTATCTATACATGAGCTATTAGCTTCACCAATACTCATTTCCATGTTATTTTCAAGGTAGATAATAGGTCTTCCTAACAAGAAGATGTCTTCTGTCATTTAACGTCTTCCAACAGCTCTCTCCATCACTCCAGAAGTCAATGCTGGTCTTTCTTCTAAAGAGCACCTGCAATACACTGGGGCTTTGCTCTCATTACCCTAAAACATAGTCCTCAGACAAACACCAGCAAGACTAAAGGAAATCAGAACCCAGGCTCTCATGTTTGAATGGCCAATTCTGGGTCTGAGATCAGCTCCACATCTTTCTGATCTACCTGGCACGGGAGGGTACCATCTAGCCATGTTCCTGGGAACACCTTTTGTTGGGAGAGGGATAGGCCAAGCTGGTAACTAACTTTTAATCTTCAGACCCCCCCCCACCTCCCTGATACTGGGGGTACAGACATGGGCCACCAGAAACACCATTCTTAACAATGGGATGAAGCACAAAGCTATGTACCTGTGTCTGGCGCCTTTTTAACCATTTTGGGGTACTTCTGGAACTTTACAAAATAATAGCTCTCATATTCCATCAAAATTGTTTCCAGGTCAACATTGTCACAGACTTCAAAGCGCCGTAATCCCAGCTTAGTCTCTTCCTCCAAAGCATTCGCAGCATCGATGTAGCTGGCAGTTTACAGGAGAGAGAAGATTAAGTCTGGGTGGAAGGAGTAAAGGCGAACCAGGGCTGCAGATGCAAAGAGTCAATACAAAGAGCAAGCAGACAGGAAGCAGCATCGGCATAAGAGCTTCTGCAGGGAGACTTTTCTAGAGGAAGGAACCTTACATAGCATTTGTTTGTTCATTTTGGGTTCTGTCTTCTTGGTTTTGTTTTGGTTTTTGGTTTTTAATGCTGTTGTATAGGGGTTCTTTGATTGCCGGTGGTTTTGGTTTTAGTTGGTTGTTTCAAGGACAAGGTTTCACTACATAGCCCAAGGTGTCTTAAAACTCATGATCCTCCTGTGTCAGGAGATTACAGATGTGTAACTGAGCCACATGTTAAATATATCCAAATACTATCCCACCCAATGGTTCTGTCTGGATGTTACCTGCTTCGAGAGACATCTAGTGATGTTACCGTTGTCCAAAACAAGTTTGAAAGTGCTTACAGTCAAGTAAGTAAGTCAATTAGGGAACTATCTTTAGATTGCCTTCCCTAGTTTTCAGCCAAATGTGGGTGTAGCTGCTGCATTTGGTTACATTTTGTTGCTGTGGTAAAATGACATGCAGTTAAGTATGGACTTGGAGAATGTCATTGTATTAGCACAGGCTTGCCAATTATCACAAATTAACCACATTAATTAGAGATGTTAACAATGAGGATCTGGGATAAAGTTCAGTTATAGAGTGCTTTCCTGGGGTCTGCTGCCAATATTGAAAATTACACTATTATTACAACAATAGTATTGTTAGTAATAGTAGGCTAGGAAACAGGTGCGGAGGGAGCATATAGGGATTCACTATACTTTCTGCTCATTTTCTGTAAACATGAAACTGTTCTAAAACTAATGTTTAGTCTCAGCTTCTGCAGGGTCAGAGAAGAGAGACATCATCATGAACACGTGCCAACATACCCTTCTTGTGTTAAATAATGCAAAATCAAGATGAGGAGATTTTTTCGCCGAGCTTCTGTTCTCATCTCATACTGTGAACAAAGAGGAAAATTTAGATGGGACAACAGAACACAGCAGCGCTTTGTAGAACGGCTTAGCGGTAGAGTCAAGCTGTCAAAACCGAGCAGCCTGTCTTAAAGGCTGGCCAGCCTCTACGGTCTCAGAGGCTGCATAAAGTTGTTTCTCCACTGCCTGTGCTTTCTTCAGTCCAGCGTCTCATCAGTAAATCTAAGAGACACTGACTTGAATTACGATGGCATGTGACTAGTTGAACTTAACTGCTGAGCTAGCCAGTCTTTTATTGCCTAAAACCAGAAGGAAATAAATACACATTCTCCTGCTGTTTAGACCAGGTTAAAAAAAAACATGGTTACAAAATAAACTTGTGGGGGCTGGAGAAATGGCTTTCCAGGGGGCAGGTGTTTGAGCTCTAGCCCAACCTGTGGGCTCACAAAGTCTAATGCCAGGAGAGCCAATGCCCTCTTCTGGCAGGCAGGGGTACTGCATGCATATGGTACACAGACAAGCAGGCAAAATGCCCATACAAACAAAACAGTAAGATAAATCTTTAAAATAAAATACGCTTGTGTTCTAGAAATAAGCTTGACAGTTGGGCGTTGGTGGCTCATTCCTTTAATCCCAGCAGAGGCAGGCGGATCTCTGTGAGTTCGAGGCTGTCTCGAAAAACAAAAACAAAAAATAAATGAATAAAAAGGAAATCAGCATGCACATGGTAATATATCTTTAATTCATTCAGAGACCAACCCAGTTCCTGAACCAACTCAGTTATGGATTCCTGAAAGCCATGGCCATACATCAAGCACCCAGACTGGCCACAGAGAGAAGCAGGACCACTAAAGGGAAATTCCAGCATAAGAAGGTCATCATCCACTGGATGAATTTGCCTTTGTTTGCAGTGCTAATGTGCACATTTAATATTCTGGGATTTCAAATTCTCCTGATGTATTCTCTACATATCTATATCCAATAGCACTTCTCCTAATAGGAAATAACTATCCTTATCTAAAGAGACCACAGGTAAGAAGTGTGTGTGTGAGTGTGTGTGTGTGTGTGTGTAAATAGCCTCTGTGTAGACCAACTTAGGCCGTAAATTCTATGTACGTGGGCTGGCGATGCAATCAGTTAGTAGGGCCCTTGCTTAGCATAAACAGAGAGCTGGTCCCAGCACTGCCTTAAACCCAAAACTGGATGAGCCAGTACATGCTTGTAATCCTATGATTGAAAGATGGACACAGGAGAACATAACTCAAGGTCCTCCTCAGCTACATGGGGAGTTTGAGACTAGTCTGGGCTGCAGGAAACCCTGTTTCGAAAATTAAATCTACATACAAACTCTCATGACACACATGACCTTCATAGCTTTCTGAAAACTAATGTTGTTATGAAATAAAAGCATGCCTATAATTAATGATTCAAAAGGCAGTAGTTCTTTTTCCTTTTTCTTTTTTGGGCATATAGCCCAGGTTGGCTTCAAACTCACTATGTAGTTCAGAATGACCTTGAACTCTGATCCTCCTGCCTCCAATTCCCAAGTGCTAGAATTACAGGCAACAGGCACCACACTCATCCACTTTTCCCCCCTTTGAGTTACTGTCTATGTAGTAAAATATATGCACCTGTTTAGGTAAGAGACACTGAACACATTTGCACGTCCACCTGCCATCTTCAGAATGCCTTCATCTCCCTCAACTGAAATTTTCTGTACTCGTTAAGCACCGGAAACAAAAACCAACTAAACATAAAGCTGTACATGACCTGCTACACCAGTGCTGTGTATAGACTTGAAAGAATCAAAGTCAGAATACAATAAGATGCTTGCACATCCATGTCCACTGAGACACTATTCACCACAGGCAAGTCGTGGAGTCAGTGGGGTAGCGGACAGTGTGTGGTGTGGGATCCGGCACACTGTAATTAAGGCATAAGGCAAGGCCTGAGGGACCCTCTTGCGATGACGGATCCATTGCATATCTGTCTGTTGGGGTTGTTATATGGCTGTATGCATTTGTCAGAACTCTTGGAGCCAAATACCAAGGAGAATAAATTTTTCTATATGTTAATTTTTATGAATAAATTTAAGAACAAATTATAGTTTGCAGGAAATTATCATGCTAAACAAAGTAAGTCGGAATCAGAAAGCCAAATGTCACATATTCTCTCCAAAGAATCTAGTTTTTGTTTTTTGTTTTTAAGCAGGATAAGGTAGTGCATGCCTGTAATTCCAGCACTCAGAATACTGAAGCGGGAGGGCTGTGGAAAGGTCAGTCCATCCGGAGCTACCTAGCAAGACCCGGCCTATACAGCAAGACCCTGACTCAATAAGTAAATAAGAGACAATGTAGGGCGAGCAAGGGACCTAGCAGGAGGGAGGCAGCTGCTGAGACAGAGGGTTATAATGCTGGGGAACAATATTTCAGGTGAGTACCATTTGTCTATGCTGCATTTGTTTAACTCCGTGAGGCTGTCATTCTGTCTAGAACACCTGATGGTCCTAATAAAGAGCTGAACGGCCCATAGCGAGGCAGGAGCAAGGACAGGTGGGGCTGGCAGGCAGGGAGAATAAATGGAAGGGGAAAGGAGGAAGAAAGAGGAAGAGGAAGGAGAAAATCAGGAGAGGAGGAGGCCAAGGGCGGGCGGGCGGGCGGGCACAGAGATAGAAGGGGAGGCAGATGGATTAATTTACAATAAGAAAAACTGAATAGAAACAAGCCAAGCTAAGGCCGGGCATTCATAAGTAATAATAAGTCTGGTGTGTATTTATTTGGGAGCTGGGTGGCTGGCCTCTTGAAAAAAGCCCAAAGGGCGAAAACCCCTGACAACATTATAAGGGTGGGTATATACTTAAAGTTCATTCCATTCGTGGGTGGAAATGTCACAGTGAAGCTCGCTGTCTTCCATAATGAGGTATGTGAAAGAAAAAGACTTTCAAGGTAGGCAACAAAATAAGAGAGAATGGAGAATTCCCCTTCTGTATAAAGAAGTATAAAAATACATGTGATTATGATGTGCAAAGGGATAAGGCATTGCTGGCGACTGTTTCTTCTACAGCAATGTTCCTCCATGAGGGAACATTCTCTCCAGGAGCAGGGTTGTGACTCAGGAAGTCAACAAACTTCACAAGCTGAGACTTGCAAGAGCCACCAGGGCCCCTTTCCAGAGTGACAGTTGCTGGGTCAGGACAGTGAGCCTCGGACCTGCCATCTGCGGGACCGATGGAGCTGGAGATCTTCACGTTAAACAAAGGTAAGCCAGAACCGCAAAAACAGTACCGTATTCTTTCTCTGATCCGCTCGGAACTGCCTGCAAGCTGTGCGGAGAGCTCCGGGTTGCAACTTGCCGGAGTCCTACGTTGGGGTGGGCTCTGCGGATGAGCTTTGGCTCATCTCTGCTCCTTTACGTTACCCCTCACCCATACTCCTGCAGTAACCCAGTAAAACTTAGGTTCACCGACCTGGACTTCGGCGGTGCACTCATTACGTTTTTCTGCATGGGTTCCCTTTCTGGAGGAAGTGTGTATGTGAGTGTGTGGGGGTGGCATTGTGTCTCTCTGTGAAAAGTGTTATACAACCTACATAAGAAATAAACTGGGAAAGGGTTAATTATAGGAGAATATGGCATTGACTTTTTATTGTAGACTTTTCTGTTCGTTTTTGAGATAAGTCTCTTACTGTGGAACCCTGGGTGACTTGAAACTTGCGATGTAGACCAGGCTGCCCTCAAACTTGCAATGACTCTCTTGCTTCTGTCCCGAGTGACAGACAGTATTACACACATGTAGATGTGTGCCAACCCATTCTACAAACAAGCTATTGTTTGCAGCCCTGCTAGCTTTGAACTCTCAAAGGTAGATCCTTCTACCTTGGTCTACCAAGCCCTGGGATTTAAAAAGTGTGCTATTGCACTGAGCCTTTCTGAAAATCAAACTGGATTGAAGCTGGACAGACAATTTAGGGATTAAGAATCCATGCTGCTCTTCCAAAGGACCAGGGTTCAGTTCCCAGCATCCACAGTAGTCCTGTCTCAACTGCCTGGTGCATACACATGGTAGTCTCTCTCTCTCTCTCTCTCTCTCTCTCTCCCTCTCTCTCTCTCTCTCTCTCTCTCCCTCTCTCTCTCTCTCTCACACACACACACACACACAAATAAAAATAAATCTTAAGTGCACTCTACAATAATCTTAACATTCATTCACAACAAGTTGTACCCAGTGAAGAACACAGAGGACTGGAGAGCAGGCTGAGCAGTTTAATGCTCCGGAATTAAAGGCCTGCACCACACATCATTGGCTTGGGGGGGGGTGATCTATAGGAATATGTTCTGCCATAATATCTTCATATTCTTTTCTTCTCCCCAAGTTCACACTTGGGTATGAATTGCATTTCTATGGGCCATGTCCTTCATTTTCTTCTCTAGTCCTTTCTCTGTGTGATTCAGTCTAGAACATTTCTGGGGTGAGTTCTTCTGTTCACTAATCTACTTACATCATCTAGTGAATTTGCCATTCAGGTGCAGTACTGTATGTTTCAACTCTTAAAGTTCCATTTTATTCTTTGTTTTGCTTTTTTAAAGACAGGGTCTCACTATGTAGACAAGGCTGGCCTTGAACTCAGAGAAATCCACCTGTCTCTGTCATCTGAATGTTGGGATTAGCCAGGCAGTGGTGGTGCATGTCTTGATCCCAGCACTCAGGAGACAGAGGTAGGTGTTTCTCTGAGTTTGAGACCAGCCTGGTCTACAAAGTGTGTTCCAGGACAGTTAGGGCTACACAGAGAAACTGTGTGTCAAAAAATAAAAGGTATGCGCCACTACAACCAACTTTCCATTTTATTCTTCTTATACCTTGTGCTTTTCTCCTTTTTTGTGGTCATGTTTCCCTTCTGATCCTTAAATATATTGTGGCAGGATACTATTTATGTGGAGTTCTTTCCTGCTTGTGTGACTATGTGTGTTTCTGGTGCCTTCAGAAGCCAGAAGAGGGCATCAGATCCTCCAGAACTATGGTTACCATGAG